AAAAATCCAAATGGGTCATTTGACCAGGCTATTTTGGAAATTCTCCCTACTTCACGGATCATAATTTCCGGATTTTATGTCCAGTACTCTTCATTCGGGTTGTCAAAATTTGACCCACATGCCATAGTTGAATCTTCGGCAATGGTTTAGTTGGAATATAATTATGATTTCATATTTATCATTCACAAGACAAATTCGACAATATGAATTAATTTTATGGGGTCTAAAAAGAATTAAAAAAAGCACGATTTCAATTTTTCTCTCTTTTAGTATAACTAATTATTAATAAAAGGCATATACACCAAGTCAACAAGTGACGAAAATAATTGTATTGTACTGTATTCGAGAAAACTATGAATCACGTGAATAACAACTCGAATAGAGAAAGTTATTCTTACAAGTGGATTGCTCAATGATTAATTCACATCAACTCGACCGGTATAAAATTTATCAACTTTTACCATTTGATACATTTACCTCTAAATAAAGATAACTTTACAACTTAGACAACTTAGCTTTAAATTTGACCAAAATAAAATTAAGACAACTCGGCCTTGTTTGGATTAGTTAGTAGAAAGTTCATCTATTGATTTTAATCATTCTTCGTTACAGACTAGTTACTAATTAATCATATCATTTTTCTTCTCTAACGACATTATTAATAACTCATTGATAGTAGGTAGACAGTAGATATCAAGTGATTAAAGGGAGGATGTCCAAACAAAAGGGAAGAATGGAAACGTAGTAAATGATACTAAGGATTGTGAAAACGATGAGAGAGGAGGTTGGCAAGTAGCATTAATATATTTCATATGAGCGACTGTCGGTGGGGTAATTAAACTGCTGGAATCTACATTCTACTTCAGCTAGTTGACACTACAACACTTGTTTTGACATGTTTTACTATGGCCCAAAATAAGTGACTAATATGTCTGTCTGGCTCCATGTGACTGAACTAATCTTGTGAAAACGATGAGAGAGAGAGAGAGAGAGAGAGAGAGAATACTAATGTCTGGCTCCATGTGACTGATCTAATCTTGTGTGCTTTGCATTAAAAGTCTTTTCCTTGTTTCCTATACTTCATTACCACTTATCACACACACAAAAGTGTGTATTTTTATCCGTCCCAATAAATGCATTTCTTTTCGTGAAATCTAGATGCAATTGAGGATTTAAGTTCTTCGAAAAGCCTCATAAGAGATCTTCAAAGAAAAACAAACATAGATTTCAGTAGATTTTCAACACATGGCTCCACTCCAACATTTCAGTCGGAAAAAGGTACTCTTTTTTATTCTTCTTTTGGTTTTCTTCACTTCAATATTCAGTTCTGCACACCAGCCAAAAAGTTCTGGTAGAAGAAGATCAACGTTAGAGGTAGAAGAAGAAGATGAGCCAGTTATTAAGAAGAAAACTACTTCTACCAAACTAGCTTCCTCAAAAAATACAACCAAGGTTATTAAATCTAATGCAAGTTCTTCCAAGAACCAAACCAAGCTCATTAAATCCAATATTGGTTCAATCAAGAACCAAACCAAGCTTATTAAACTTCCTTCTGATTCTGCCAAGAACAAAACCAAGTATATTAAATCCACTCCTGATTCCATTAATGATTCTACAACCACTATCAAATCCCAGCTCAAGAAACTAAATTCCACTTCAAAAACCTCAAATTCTACTACTACAAAGACCAGTTCAATTTCCCCCAAGAAATCTTCAGATTTAACCAAACTGAGCGCATCCAAGAACAAAACAACAAAGCTCATTACCAGTAAAGAAACAAAAACCAAAATCCAGTTGGAAAAGATCCTCAGTGAGTCAAAATCCAAAAACCCAGAAAAAACCCCGCCCAAAAAGGCCCAAAAACAGTCCCAGCCAAGCTGGATTGATCAATATGATGATGAAGATGACTTGGTTTCTGGGTTCAGAGACCTCCCATCCAAGTTTCAAGAAACTCTCTTGCCAGATTTGGAAAGAATTTCCAAAACCTCTACAGTTTATCTTGCAAAATATAATAAAGAATTTACAAAAGGATTTAAACCTTATGTTGGGAACAAATATGCTCCCATGATTGCCTCTATAGCCTCATTTGCCTTCATTTTGATCCCACTGGTTCTTGTTTCTCTAATTTTCAACAGAATCAAAGCCTATTTTTCACTCCAAAAAGTCTTGATTTTTATGCAAGCTTATTTGACCATATATTTCTCCATACTCTGCTTATCTTCTTTGGTCACTGGGCTTGAGCCTATCAAGTTCTTTTACGCAACTTCGCAGTCCACCTATGTGTGTGTACAAATATTGCAAACACTTGCTTATGTGTTGTACCTCTTGCTTCTGCTGATGTACTTGATCCTGGTGTTCTCCACTGAAACTGGGCTGGCCACCAAGATACTTGGACTGGGTCAGACCTTTGTGGGCTTTTCTATTGGGCTGCATTGTTATATGACAGTCTTTCACAGGGCCGTGTTGCATCAGCCGCCGAAGACTAATTGGAAGATTCACGCACTCTATGCCACTTGTTTCCTTGTCATTTGCCTATTAGGTAGGGTTGATAGGAGGAAGAAGGCCTATGTAGAAGATGATGGTGAAGAGGGCAAAAAGAGTTAGTGATTTTATATTTTCGTTTGTTTTATTTCTGGTAAGTATTTTATGGATTAATTATAATTTTTGATAAGAAGCACAAAGGAATTGTTTCTTCTTATCTTCTATTTCTTTTCTCAGAAGTTGTAAGTTATGATAAATAATATCCACAGAGGACAAATAGCTCGGATTCTTATGCATTTCATCACTTTGTGTTTCGTCTCTGGTTGAGTTTCGTTAAATGATAAGTCGTGACATGATTCAATTAATTGAGTCTATCAAGTGTGATCATCTGGACTGAAGCTCTAACGTTACTTGTATTAGCAATTTAATCTTAACTACTGCTAATCAATAGTCTTACTATTTTGGTTCATACATATATTTGTCTCTGTGTTGCATTGATGAGTTTTCCTATTCTCGATAAAGCGTGTCCGTAATTGGGCCGCCTAGTTTGGGTAGGGGGGGTATGCACATGTATATTTACCACAATTGACAAACATAGCACTGAAAGGAGATCATTTGTCGATTTTTTTTTTTGTTTAATTGTATCTTAACACCGTTTTTCATTGGTCAGTTCAGTTGGAAAATGCAATCAGATGTTTGGGGTAATATAATTGATCAAGGGATTGGTTTTCCATTTTGTCATTATTTTTTATGGTCAAAAGTCAAAACTATCCTTATGTAGCATAATAAAATAATATTTAATAAGTATTTCTGTTTTGATTAATTTTTCATCAATATGTTTGCTTTTGGGTCTATCATGAATCTTTCATTAATTAACATATATTCTCACTTATTATGGTCCTCGTCCAAAAGGTTTACTAGGAAGGCATAAAAAGACTTACACACCCTATATATATTTTTAAACAATAAAAATAATAAATAAATAAGTGCAACAATATATTTTGCAATTTTAATGTAGCATGCTAACAAAAATATAAATATAAACCAGCAGCGGATACTATGGTTGTGTTTGGCACCAATTTTGAAGAAGAATAAATTCTGGAATAATGATGGATGAGAAGAATGTGTGATTAAAAAGTAAGAAAAAATTTTGTGTTTACGTATAATATTATTTTATTGATAGAATGTGTGATTGAAATGAAGCAAGAGAAAGAGAAGAGAATGGATGTCAAATAGAGGCTATATGTACTCAAAGATTGTGAAACCTTTAGTGCAATCAAAAGTAAAGAAATAAAAAAAAAAATGTAATGTCAATATAACCGTTCTTAACTTTCTCAACGCGATTGACATTAACTCTAATCTGCTCTACATGCTAGTGGTCTCGTTAGAGACCTATCTTGGAGCGTATAAGAGGAAATTGTGTTATGGATAGGGGTTTAGTGAGTGCATCAACATGTTGATCACTGGATATGACATAGGATACATGAACGAAATGAATATAGTGAAAAATTGGATTTGAGCACACAAAGTTCATAGTTGGTAATGCCATAATCATAAAACATAGTAGTTGTAGGACTTGTTGGTTCACCAAATTCTGCGTGGGATTTAATCTAGAGAAGATCACAAACAGTGCTAGATAAATTTTTGCACTCGACCTTCATGGAGGAACAATAGATAGGATAATGTTTGTGAGATATCTAGGCAATAGAATTATAGTGAATGAACACAAATTTTGCACTTGTGGATTAGCAGTTATTAACAACGCCAATTGGAGTTTGAAAAACGAGTGCAAGACAAGCAAAGACTGACGACAAAGGTATAAACCATAATGAATAGTGCCACAGAGACAATGAAGCGCACATTTGACAAACATCCAGTGTTGAGACGTAGGACGATACATAAATTGAGATGGTTTGTTTACAACATTGGCAATATCAGGCGCATGAGTAAGAGATGTTGGGGACTGCCAATTACTTAGCAATATGATGTAGCATCATGTAGTGTGGTGCCATCTATTAACCTGAGATTTATTGTAGTGCACAATGGTGTTTGATTGTGAACTGGGGAGAAATGCTTAAGGAGATGTGTTTGAAAAGAGAAGGTGAAGGAGATAGGGGATGCCTATCACATGTTAAGGCTAGATGACTAGTTATGGTATGATACAATGAATATGTTATCGACCATAGGATTGACTGTGTGCTCACTGCTCAGGAGCAGTGTTCTCCTTATCGGAGTTGTGCTCAATACCATATGGGGTTTTGGGCTTTCATATTCAAATGTTAACGTTGTTACATTAGTTATTTATATTATTGAGGTATTTACAAAAATACCTTTAAAATTAGGGATTTTTTGAAAAATCATATGAAAAGTTTTTACGAAGTAAAAAATACTGTGTAAAATGAAAAAGTGACACAATATTACTTTTTAAAAAAAAGTCACACAAACTCAAAAAAAGTGACAAAACTACAAAAAGTGAGAAATACCAAAATAGCATCATTTATTTGTACAACACTAGTAATCATGTTTTTAAAATAATCACCACGTTCAGATCAATCCACATGTTGATTACATAAAAAAATGACAATGAAAATGATATTCACTGTCACTTTTAAAATTAAGTGTTGCTTTTTTTATTAAAAATGACATACAATGTCACTTTTATTAAAAATTGATGTTTGTCACTAAAAAAGTGATAGAAATCAAGAAAGTGACTAAAAAAAGTGACAGAAATTATAAAAAGAGACAAAACATTTGCAAAGA